GCCATTTCGTTGCCGGTTCAAGAATTACATGCACCCGATTCGTAGTTGTGTATGTACCCGCGTGCTATCCGTGGGTTCAGGGTGTGCAATGTCTCGCATTAACTGCCGATAAAAAATTCCAATTTGCCTGCGACAGTTTTCTGCTTTCATACGACCCCTTTTGGCGTGGCGTCATCTCATAGATTATATCCTTACCTTGTAAGATTGCTGACGGGGTTAACTAATATGGGCAAGTAGACAAGGATTGGAAGGACTGTCGGTCGAATCCCAGCGCGGGACTCGGGACGTTTATGGCAACTACATCATCTTCATCTCACAGTCGGAATGACGAAGACTGAACCCAGTTATTATTATTATTATTATTATTAGTAGTAGTAGTAGTAGTAGTAGTATTATAGGATACTTATATAGCGCACATATCCAGGCAACTAGTGCTGGCTCAAGGCGCTGATATTTTTTACACCTGGCTTCTATTGGAAACAGACCCAGGACTACTCTTGATGCGAGAAGATAGAGAAGAGCACAGGTGGATAATGAATTGTATCGGTTATATAATTATATTTCATGTTTTATTAATATCCATATTTTGAAAACCCGATTGGCATGACCACTTAAGCGGGCATCGCAAATGGTTTCGTTAACATCTTGGCTAAACATTTCTGATCCGTGGAAAATTATGGCGTTATGGAATCGACTGATTCTTTGACTCTCCTGTTGGTTGTGGTTCGAAATCATAAACTGATAATTTCCCGAATGAGAGAGAATGACTTTGCGCTGCTTTAAGAAATATTCCCGCAATATCAATGCAGGGAACGCTGGAACTTGACTTTTGTGAGGATTCGAACCCGGATATGGGCGTGACGAGCTAACACCTGAACCACAAGACTTTATGCGTAAGGAATACAGTATTGTTTTGTATCGCAAGCACCAATACCGTAGTGGCCAGACACCCAGATACGTAACAAGGTAGCAAGTATACTCGCTTATATAATCTTGATGTTGGAGGAAAACGGGAGGTGAAAGCAACGAGCATGGCTATTTTGGTGACGAAAATCCTTCATGATCGCAGTGAATTCGGGATTCAAACCCACTTACAGTGATTCCAGAAACAAGGGGAAGCAAATGTACACAGGGAGGACAGTATCACCGTGGCACCATGTACATACGAGGCATCACGACACAGGGGGGACAGTATCACCGTGTCACCATGTACATACGAGGCATCACGACACAGTGGGGATAGTATCACCGTGTCACCATGTACATACGAGGCATCACGACACAGTGGGGACTAACCGAAAATAACACCCTTGACATGTTAGGGTAAATACCCTTGATTGTGAAACGGTCTTAGATGTTGTCGGCGTGGTAGGGTAGCCTAGTGGTTAAAGCGTTCGCTCCTCACGCCGAAGACCCGGGTTCGATTCCCCACATGAGTACAATGTGTGAAGCCCATTTCTGGTGTCCCCCGCCGTAATATTGCTGGAATTTTGCTAAAAGCGGCGTAAAACCAAACTCACTCACTTAGTTGTTCTCACAAACAATGTATAAATGACGGAGTCTAAAGTTTGAAGCGCTGGTTAGTCGGCCAGAAATCCTGGATTCGATTCCCTTTGAATACGATGTTGGAAACCTACTCGTTCCCCCACTCACTCACTCGCTCACTCACTCACTGACGCACACATTCAATCACTCACCCACACTGTCGTAGTATCCATACTCACTCATTCAGTTTGTGAGTATAATATTGCAGTATTACGATGGGGGACACCAGCAACGGGTTTCACATTGTCTGTGTAGGGATTCGAACCCGGACCTTCATCGCGTAGAGGGAACGATTCAAACACTGCTCTACCTCCCATATATATGAAAATAAAGAACTTTTTAGCAACATGTTGTTCTGTAACTGAATTTCGAAAACGTTATATCTGGAATAACACCGAGCGTACATTTAAATATAAAAAACACATAACACGTCTACACGTTCATAGATATATCTCAAACTGAATATACAGATCCAAATTTACGTACGAAGCGATATATTTACACATGGGTTACATCTCACTTGAACGGACCTCTAGGAAATGCTCCAAGCTCAAAGACACATTATTGTTATACTGTACAACCTTTCTGTTCAGTAAAACACCATTTTACCCAAAGATGCGCCGGTGTCATACTAATCTCTCCAATCGGCGACAGAGATATACTATAGTCTATTCAGCCAGAGCGGCCAGGAGATAAGCCTGTTGATAGACACAGCTTTGCTTATTGTACATCAACAATAAGTCTTTGTGATAAGTGCGAGTCCTCTCGCTTATCGCCGCCCAAGATAAGCTCCTGACAGCGCTGAGGTCCAGTCACAAGTTGTTGTGTCACTGTGTGCGCGCAAACAACTGTCGTAACCAGTCTTGAACTGCAAGAGATGCCCCAGTCTTGTCTTGTGGGGGTCCTGGTGGCTCTTCATAAATCAGTTAGAAGAAAACAATATTTATTTTTGCAGCATCTCTTCTGGTTTTGATACGCATGAACCTAACCTTTCATTTCACGAGATAAAATGGTATTTTATACGTGACGCTTGATTTCGTAATGTGAAGCTTTCTACTAAATTATATCTGGCTGCCAGACACCTCGCATGTGTGTCTTGCCGAGCTGCGCAACTATCATATGCACATACAATATCAAGGAACCGTTTGACGTAAACCGTATACCTGTTTTGTGAAGGAGACAGGCGACTCCCCAAGTGATGCTGTCTGATGGAGATGTAGGACGAGGCCTTCTACCTGTTTTGTGAAGGAGACAGGCGACTCCCCAAGTGATGCTCTCTGATGGAGAAGTAGGACGAGGCCTTCTACCCGTTTTGTGAAGTAGACAGGCGACTCCCCAAGTGATGCTCTCTGATGGAGATGTAGGACGAGGCCTTCTACCTGTTTTGTGAAGGAGACAGGCGACTCCCCAAGTGATGCTCTCTGATGGAGAAGTAGGACGAGGCCTTCTACCTGTTTTGTGAAGGAGACAGGCGACTCCCCAAGTGATGCTCTCTGATGGAGAAGTAGGACGAGGCCTTCTACCCGTTTTGTGAAGGAGACAGGCGACTCCCCAAGTGATGCTCTCTGATGGAGATGTAGGACGAGGCCTTCTACCTGTTTTGTGAAGGAGACAGGCGACTCCCCAAGTGATGCTCTCTGATGGAGATGTAGGACGAGGCCTTCTACCTGTTTTGTGAAGGAAACAGGCGACTCCCCAAGTGATGCTCTCTGATGGCTTTCTACCTGTTTTGTGAAGGAGACAGGCGACTCCCCAAGTGATGATCTCTGATGGAGAAGTAGGACGAGGCCTTCTACCTGTATTGTGAAGGAGACAGGCTACTCCCCAAGTGATGCTCTCTGATGGCCTTCTACCTGTTTTGTGAAGGAGACAGGCGACTCCCCAAGTGATGCTCTCTGATGGAGAAGTAGGACGAGGCCTTCTACCTGTATTGTGAAGGAGACAGGCGACTCCCCAAGTGTTGCTCTCTGATGGAGAAGTAGGACGAGGCCTTCTACCTGTTTTGTGAAGGAGCCACACAACGCATATGCGTATTACCGAAAAGCACAGTACGGCGTGGCCTCCTACCTATTTTGTGACCCGTACCTACCTATTCACCACTCTCTCATAGTCGTGCACGGTCCTGAAGCCACGAGAGTTTTCTTCTTCTTTCCTGGTGGAGCCAAAGCGACGCTCCGTGGAACCTGCTTTCTTCACTTGAAAAACACAATGCTCCCGGGTACATTTTTCTGAAGGATGTTTGGAAGTTTGTTGACCACGGTTTCTGTCGGAGCTGAGTGTCTTATGAAGATAACACTTGCTGATGGAACCGTGCGACTCTACCTGACTCGTGGTTTCCCTCCAGTTCCATGAAGTCATGTCAGCAAATACCTACTGAGGGGAGAACATGTCAGTGTTATCGAAGCCTACAATGACAAATTGTAATCCTGAGGATGTAGTCTGCAACTGCCAGACTAATGCAACCCTGTAGTACCGAAGATGTTATCCCCAATGCAGTCGATAAAAAACTAATCTGAAGTCACCCATTCATATGTCGGGAATCGAACCATAGCGACGAGCGAAACTACTACCACTGGCCCCATTCAACCATTCATCAAAATTCTCCAACAGTTATCATGCTACGTAATATCGGTAATAACTCGTTTATATTACATGTGAGTGTTATAATTAGACATTCACTCACTAAATGGTTTTGCTAGTACATTTCGAACTTGAAGAACCTCTCCATAGCGTTTGTTAACATCGACACCATGTTTCTTGTTGAAAGCCCCCAGTATCAACCGTATACCAGATGTCTAACGACAGCTGGAAGACTTCTTGTCTCAAGAAGGGAGTTAGCTGGAAGACTTCTTGTCTCAAGAAGGGAGTTAGCTGGAAGACTTCTTGTCTCAAGAAGGGAGTTAGCTGGAAGACTTCTTGTCTCAAGAAGGGAGTTAGCTGGAAGACTTCTTGTCTCAAGAAGGGAGTTAGCTGAAGACTTCTTGTCTCAAGAAGGGAGTTAGCTGGAAGACTTCTTGTCTCAAGAAGGGAGTTAGCTGGAAGACTTCTTGTCTCAAGAAGGGAGTTAGCTGGAAGACTTCTTGTCTCAAGAAGGGAGTTAGCTGGAAGATTTCTTGTCTCAAGAAGGGAGTTAGCTGGAAGACTTCTTGCCTCAAGAAGGGAGTTAGCTGGAAGACTTCTTGTCTCAAGAAGGGAGTTAGCTGGAAGACTTCTTGTCTCAAGAAGGGAGTTAGCTGAAGACTTCTTGTCTCAAGAAGGGAGTTAGCTGGAAGACTTCTTGTCTCAAGAAGGGAGTTAGCTGGAAGACTTCTTGTCTCAAGAAGGGAGTTAGCTGGAAGGTACGCTGTATTAGCAACATTCAAGGCATAGTATGGTACAGAACACAAAGAAGCATCCTCAACTGTCCAGTGCATTACATTTCCATTCCATAACCTCTTCCTTTTGTAAGTGAAGTCATCATCTGCATCTCACGGAGTGTCTCCTGGTCAATGATTGACATTTTAGTAGCATCAGAACGAGGCTAAAGTGGCGAATGGATCATGGTGGTTTAGTATATAATGCATTATATAGTAGAGGACGATCAAGACGTAACTCTACACATTTAGTCCACGTGGGGAATCGAACCGAATCTGACAATTTAAGTTAACACTTTACCCACTAGGCCACCCACCTCCCATGAGGCACAGGGGAAGTAATCACGTGATGACGTTTTCCTTACAACAACAGTGAACCAAAATGTGTTCTCTAACTTGTTACAATTTTAGATGAAAGTCACGCACCCTGCTCATCTGACTCTATACCTACAGAGATGCTGCTGAAACATAACCATGCTTAAATCAGTTAAGTCGTACTTCAAAACAAGCATATTTTGAGTATGACTTAATGGATGTACACATTATATTCATATTTACCTACTAATGATGGTCGATCTTTCCTGCTCTTCTGCTGTCAACAATATCATGTTTATGAAACTTGCAACTTTGGAAATTTATGTCTAAAAAACCCCTTTCTCAGCATTAATCTAAAGCAGCCATAAATTCCCGTGATGTAAGTTTAACACTACCATGTTACAGTCCATAATGATCTTACGTGAACTCTCCACATCGCTGGGGAATGTCAGCGCCTCCTACAAGAAAGCAGATGCCTTCTGGTGCCGCTTATTGTATACAAGAATTGCTGGAAACAAATTTATTACATCCAAACCTGCGGGGAGATTTACACATTGCGAAAAATCACACCAATGTTGATTTACAATCGTGAGGCAAGCAGACAAGTGAGGATCGCCAGGGGTAGCATTGAGGGCAAACCAAACACAGGTCCATTTGGAAAGCCTTACGATCGTACGAGGAACGTTTAAAACAACAACAGTTTGTCTTTCGTCAGTTTCAATTTACATTTCAAGTATCTATGTACAGGACGAGAGTACGTCTTCCATGTGGTAGGCTTACACGTTTATCAACATAGTTGAACAAATCGTTACAGTAACTGTAGTTTTGCTGACACCTTTTGTGAAATGGCCTGCCACTTATCCAGGCACCATAACATGGGAACACGTGCAGCAGAACACGTAATGTACGAGAGTTTCAATTGTCCTTCCAGGATGATGCTAACGCATTGGCGTCATTTCCGCCTCAGTTGTTCAGACAATCTCGTAGTATCAGAAAAGTAAACTGATGCGATAATATATGACAATGGAAAAGGTTTCGCTTGAATTCACATGTCAACGATTTGATGGAATCGCTTTCAATTTTAATGATGTTTGCATGTCGATGAGATCACGTAATATAATTACAGACTGAAAAAGGTCAATGTGTGCAAAATGGAACGCGACAGAAAATATTTTTTGCAAACTACCTTTGACTTCAATTTGTAGATTATGTGATTATCCGTTTATATCGCCCGGCGTCGAATCAGTATAGTTTGGTATCTGTCAAACGATTTGCACATTAATGCACTGCGACAAGATCAAAGCACGAATTCCACTATATATGCATGAAACAAGCAGGAGCTAATTACCTCGTAGGTAACAGGTGCGATCGTATCAAGTCACATTGGACAATGATATGTTGAGTGCATAAACAGTGGTAGCAGTCCATGGCTGTGGCACCTACACATATATAGCAGCGTTATACAGATTCCGGAATACATATGTGAGGAATCAATATGATAACAAGGGATTTAACAATGTCGGTGTGAAAGAAACACCTGTCACTGAAGCATAGTGGACATGGTGGAATAACGTTCCTGACAACGTCATCATTGGACACGTGGCTCGTTCCTCATATTCACGAGACACGTGCCAGTGACAACATTCACATTCATGAGACACGTGCCAGTCTCACTATTCACATTCATGAGACACGTGGCTTGCACAACTGCTCACATTCACCATAAACGTGGCTCTCACATTCATATTCTTGAGACACTTGCCTCTCACAATCACACACATTCAAGAGACACGTGGATTTCACAATCACACACATTCATGAGACACGTGGCTCACACATTACACATATGATATTCATGAGACAAGTGGCTGTCACAATCTTTCAAATTTATGAGAAACGTGGATCTCACAATCACACATATTCATGAGACACGTGACTCTCACAATCACAAACATTTATGAGACACGTGGCTCTCACAATCACATACATTCAAGAGACGCGTGGATTTCACAATAACACATATTCATGAGACACGTGTCTCTCACAATCTCTCAAATTCACGAGACACTTGGCTCTCACAATCACACGCATTCATGAGACACGTGCCTCAGACAATCACACGCATTCGTGAGACACGTGGCTCAGAGAATCACACACATTCATGAGACACGTGGATCTCACAATCACATACATTCATGAGACACTTGGCTCTCACAATCACACGCATTCATGAGACACGTAACTCTCACAATCACACGCATTCATGAGACACGTGGCTCAGACAATCACTCACATTCATGAAACACGTGGCTCAGACAATCACACACAATCAAAACAACTATAATCAACTATAATCAATAATAATACAATCCAGCTACGTACATCAATGTGTGCGTTCAGTTACAGTAGCATGTGTCAATGTGGATTTGTTAGCTGATGTAGAATCTCTAGTGGTTGTTCCAAGAGACGCCCCAGATTGGAATCTCCAGTGGTTGTTCCAAAAGCTGCCCCTGATTGGAATCTCCAGTGGTTGTTCCAAAAGCTGCCCCTGATTGGAATCTCCAGCGGTTGTTCCGATAGACACAAATAGGAGAGTGTAAATATATGCATTCTACAGGCCTCCAGGCCCAAAGGAATATATACACTTGACGCTTGCCGTAGACTCTTCCTCTTGAATGATCAGAAAATTGGGCATATTTTTAAAAAAAAAGTATATATCTGTATCCGTCCGCCACCTATACAATTTTATATGTTATTGTACTGTAAAGTCTCGACGTTTGCTATGAAAGCGATTTCACACACGCATCACCAACTAATATTGTATGCAGACCCAGAGACCAAAGATCAGTATATAGTCACACCCAGAGACCATACATCAGTGTATAGACTCACCCAGAGAATTACATCAGTATATAGCCTCACCCAGAAACCATACATCAGAAGTCTCACCCAGAGACCATACATCAGTGTATAGTCTCACCCAGGAACCATGTATCAGTGTATAGTCTCACTCAGAGGCCATACATCAGTGTATAGTATCACCCAGAGACCATACATCAGTGTTTAGTCTCACCCAGACACCATACATCAGTATATAGTGTCACCCAGATACCATACATCAGTAGGTAGTCTCACTCAGAGACCATACATCAGTAGATAGTATCAGCCAGAGACCATACATCAGTAGATAGTCTCACCCAGAGACCATACATCAGTAGATAGTCTCACCCAGAGACCATACATCAGTAGATAGTCTCACCCAGAGACCATACATCAGTGTATAGTCTCACCCAGAGACCATACATCAGTAGATAGTCTCACCCAGAGACCATACATCAGTAGATAGTCTCACCCAGAGACCATACATCAGTAGATAGTCTCACTCAGAGACCATACATCAGTGTAGAGACTCACCCAGAGACCATACATCAGTGTATAGTCTCACCCAGAAACCATACGTCAAAAGTCTCACCCAGAGACCATACATCAGTGTATAGTCTCACCCAGAGACCATGCATCAAAAGTCTCACCCAGAGACCATACATCAGTGTATAGTCTCACCCAGAGGCCATACATCAGTGTTTAGTCTCACCCAGAGACCATGCATCAGTGTATAGTCTCACTCAGAGACCATACATCAGTGTATGGTATCACCCAGAGACCATACATCAGTGTTTAGTCTCACCCAGACACCATACATCAGTATATAGTGTCACCCAGATACCATACATCAGTAGATAGTCTCACCCAGAGACCATACATCAGTATATCGTCTCACCCAGAGACCATACATCAGTGTAGAGACTCACCCAGAGACCATACATCAGTGGAGAGACTCACCCAGAGACCATACATCAGTAGATAGTCTCAGCCAGAGACCATACATCAGTGTATAGTCTCACCCAGACACCATACATCAGTAGATAGTCTCACCCAGAGACCATACATCAGTGTAGACTCACCCAGAGACCATACATCAGTGACCATACATCAGTGTATAATCTCACCTAGAGACCATACATCAGTATACAGTCCCACTCAGAGACAATAGATCAGTGTATAGTCCCACTCAGGGACCATACATCAGTGTATAGTCTCACTCAGTGACCATACATCAGTGTATAGTCTCACCCAGATACCATACATCAGTGTTTAGTCTCACCCAGAGACCATACATCAGTGTATAGTCTCACTCAGTGACCATACATCAGTAGATAGTCTCAACCAGAGACCATACATCAGTATATAGTCTCACCCAGAGACCATACATCAGTGTATAGTCTCACCCAGATACCATACATCAGTATATAGTCTCACCCAGAGACCATACATCAGTGTAGAGACTCACCCAGACACTATACATCAGTATACAGTCTCACCCAGACACTATACATCAGTATACAGTCTCACCAAGACACTATACATCAGTATACAGTCTCACCCAGAGACAATACATCAGTATATAGGCTCACCCAGAGACTATACATCAGTATATAGCCTCATCCAGAGACCATACATCAGTGTATAGTCTCACCCAGAGACCATACATAAGTAGATAATCTCACCCAGAGACCATACATCAGTGTATAGTCTCACTCAGTGACCACACATCAGTAGATAGTCTGAACCAGAGACCCTACATAAGTATATAGTCTCACCCAGAGACCATACATCAGTGTAGAGACTCGACCAGACACTAAACATGAGTATACAGTCTCACCCAGACACTATACATCAGTAGATAGTCTCACCCAGATACCATACATCAGTAGATAGTCTCACCCAGAGACCATACATC